CCCCGTCGGCTGCTCCGGGGCGCCTGTGAGTGATGAGGCTCCTCCATGTGGGCTTCCCAGCTGGGCTTCTCTGTTCGCTCTGTTAGAGTGACACCGGCCATGACACTCCCAGGGCTGTGGGTGCTATAGGGGTGCATAGGTGGGGGACATTCAATGCAGGAGCAGCTGTGCCCCAGGCTCTGTGGTGCTCACAGGTCCTTCCTTCAGCACTGTGGCCGGCCCCTCGTGCCTTCTTCCGTCTCCATCACCCTCCTCACTCCACTCCTCCTTTCCGCAGTGGACGCTCATGTCCTACATGATTGAAGGTGGTGGCTCCACTACAATGGCCAAGGCCAAGAGCTGGCTCTACCGTCACCCTGAGGCAAGCCACCGACTGTTGCGGCTGCCGGCTGGGGTCGTCACTGACTACCTGGTGGGGCAGGTGGCTGCTGGAGCACAGGTGTGTCCTGGGGCATGGGGACAGGGCCAGGCAGGGACTGGGGACAGGGAGCAGAGAGGGTCCAGCTTCTGGGAGGAGGAGGAGGGACTGAGGTGCAGCTCTCCCAGCCCCATGTCCCCGGCAGGCGCTCCAGCTGTTTGAGTCCCATGCGGGGCACCTGGGCCCGGAGCAGTTTCAGGACTTTGCCCTGCCTTACATCCGAGACATCGCCCAGGCTGTCAAGAGCAAGCTAAAGGAGGAGGCGCTGCCCCTGGTGCCCATGGTGAGTCGGGGCTGCCTGGGTTGACCTTGGCATCTGGGGCCTGCTGGAGAGGGGTGCATGCCCTGGTACCTGCCTCCCCCAGTCTAGCCTGTGGAGAGGGGCCTGACCCATAGCGGAGTTACTGCCCATCTCCTCCCTCCCCAGATCATCTTTGCGAAGGATGCACACTACGCGCTGTGGGACCTGGCCCATGCCGGTTACGAGGTGGTCGGTCTCGACTGGACCATCCGGCCCCAGGAAGCTCGGTAAGAGTCTGGCAGAGCGCTCAGGTGCCCGGGCAGCACCCCGGGCTGGGTACCCTGACCTCTTCCTCTGCCCTGAGCCACCCCAGGCCTGGAGATTTCTGCTCCAGAGGTGGGGATAGTTGGGCCCCCATGCTACATGGAGCTCACAGCAACCAGGGGCTGCACTGAGGGGTCCTGTGTGCCCTGAGGTGGGGGCTGCAGGCACCCGGCTGCCCCCAGACTCTGCGCCACACGCAAAAACTCACCTGCTTCCTCCCTGCTGCAGTGCACAGACAGGGAAAGATGTCACTCTGCAAGGAAACCTGGATCCCTGTGCTCTCTACGCACCCAAGGTGAGCCATGGCCATCGCCAGCAACGGGCACTAGTTCCAGCCGCCTGCCTGGTGTGATTTAACCTGGCAGGCAGCTAAACACCACACAGCCATTCACTCACTCCCCTCCCCCCCGAGTGGGATGGGGGAGAGAATCAGGGAAAAAAAAAGTAAAATTCATGGGTTGATATAAAGACAGTTTAATAGGACAGAAAAGGAAGGGAAAATAATAATGATAAAAGATTATACAAAATAAGTGATGCACAATGCAATTGCTCACCACCTGCCGACCAATGCCCAGCCAGTTCCCGAGCAGCGGTCACCACCCCTCCAGCTAACTCGCCCAGTTTATGTACTGAGCATGACGTCACATGGTATGGAATGTCCCTTTGGCCAGTTTGGGTCAGCTGTCCTGGCTGTGCCCCCTCCCAGCTCCTCGCTGGCAGGGCACAAGAAGCTGAAAAGTCCTTGACGAGTGTAAGCACTACTTAGCAACAACTAAAACATCGGTGTGTTATCAACATTATTCTCCTACTAAAATCCAAAACACAGCACTGTACCAGCTACTAGGAAAAACATTAACTCTATCCCAGCCAAAAGCAGGACACTGCCTCAGTTTCCCCACCTGCAGTGCTGGCTCATGTCCCAGCAGTCCCCCAGGCTGGCTGGGGACCGATGGGGGTGGAGTACCCTGGGCTGGATGGGGCTGACACATGGTTTCCCACCGTGCCTACAGGAGAAGATTGGTGAGCTGGTGAAGAAGATGCTGGAGGGTTTTGGGACCCAACGCTACATCGCCAACCTGGGCCACGGCCTCTATCCCGACATGAGCCCCGAGCACGTGGGTGCCTTCGTGGAGGCTGTGCATGCTCATTCCCGCCACATCAACAAGCACAGCTGAGCCTGAGGGCTTGGGGACAGGACTCCGGTTTGGGCACAGTCACCCCAAGTAGTGTGTTGTCACAGGGCTCGCTCCAGGCTGGGCTGCGGCATTAAACCAGCACCTTCTCTGCAGCAGCTGTGTGGCTCTGGCTAGGGGGATGGGGAACGGGACAGCCCTGGAGAAGATGGGCAGTGACGGCAGCCTGGCAGTGGGGCATGTGAGGTCAGGGGGAACCCCTGAGCCCCGTCCTACGGGTCAGAATGGGGAAACGGGTGCCAGCAAAGTGAGGGGGATGCCTCTCCGTTCCAGGCTGCACAGTGTTGTGCCGGGGGCTTGCGAGAGAGGATGTGAGCCCAGAGCACAATAGGCATCTCCTGGCACTACGGATGCACTCAGCCCTGCTAGGGGAGATGGGCTGCCAGGCTGGCCG